ACATTTTAGTATTGAATATGCAAGTTCTCTTTTCAATAGCAAACAGTTCCAAATCAGAATACGTACAGGTTTCCTTTTGGTCAACTCTTATATTAAGTTTCAATGACAGAAAAGTTTTAATGGGACAACACAAGTGAATAAAGATAACAGGGTTTGACCCTCAACTCTATGTTAGGTTTCTGTACTGCTGTTGCTATAAATGTCCTTGTTTTCCAACAGGGTGGCCACCATTTATTAGTAGCTAAGAAATTCCAGTTGCAGTTAATGAAAATAATTTTATATCTTACTTGTTGTTAGGTGCTGCTCAGCTCACTGTATCTGACACAGAGTGGCCTCTCTATCACTTGCAGTCAGAACAGAACAGAATACTTATCTCCATGCGAGGATATGAACAAGCAACTAAATCAAAGTCATTTCCTTTTCTAGGGTGCACATATAACAAAAACCACTTCCCCACCACCAGCCACAACTTTCCTGTCTTCATATTTGCCACCTGGGACTTCATTTTAGTGAGCCTCATCTGCATCTATTTTCTGACCACTTACCCCTTCCCAGTCTGCTTCTCTGCTCCTGAGACCTGCCATGAAAACTGCACTGTGCATTTGAATCCTAATGAATGTCTGTCACCAAACTCTTGGGAGGTCCCCAAAGACCTGGACACATAGCATACCCTGTGACATAGTCTAGAACATTAGTCAGATAAAATGTATTGTACTATGCTTTGTGTTCATTGTTATTTGATTCCTAAATTGGGGTGGAATAATTTTGTCATTGTGGAAAATTGGCTGCCCGTATCTCTTTCCAGCCAATGGGCATGCCTATGCTAAATGAGATGTTTAAGAAACCTAACAGTATTTTACATTATAATCCAGCCACTTGTTATTCAATCTGCAAACTAACAAAATGTTTCACCAAGATATAAAACATATAAGATGTCCCAATCATAGTTACAGGATCTAGCTGTCTGGATTTGCATAGTAACTTTAATTAAATATAATCTTCTTTCATCTTTTTTTATGCACATAGTAGAAAGTAATTGGAGGGATAAAAAGCAAAACTTTGGTGCAGAAAGGGGGAAACACAATACCCATGTCTTATTAAAGTGAATTTGTCTGCCATGCTACAATACTCCAGGATCAAAATTACACGTCACACAACTACTTCAAAAACAAAATCTGAGGGTTATACAGTGCTATCTTGGCATGTGACTAGGATTTAAGCAAATGCATACAATAGTTGAGAACTCAAATTCAAGCAAGGCACTCCTGTGTCTGGACTAAAGACCATATGGTCAGCAGCTGGACTCTAAGATATATTGATACCCAGTACTTTAAGGAGCTTCAGTAGGAGCAGAAAAATGGTTGGTACAAAAGAGAATCAAGACACCACATACTGTGCACCACTGCTATCTCTGCTGCCCTCTATTCTCCTTCTGACCACAAATGTAATCTTTCACTCTGTTCATGAGAGTGCTTTCAGAGTTCACTTGTCCAAACAGTCCTAACAAATGTGAGAACTACTTGGGTAACTAAGGATTTGCAGGATTGGGGTCTTAATTTGTAAGTAAATATGTAAGACATAGGGGGCAGGGATGGGAAAATTCCTAAGCATACCCATTCTTCAAAATGGTTGATCGATTAAGTTTTGGGTGTAATCATGAAGTTAGTTACACCAGTGTAAATCTGGAATAATTCCACTGAGAAAATTAGCTAACGTGGATTTAATTAAGAAAAAAAATCTGTTCCCTTTTCTGGTTTTCTAACACACAGGTTACAACAGTTTAAGGAGTAATTAGTAAATTTTGAATCATATCTGATCAAGTTTGTTGCTTTAAAAAAAGTTTGAGATACCAGGGGAATTATAAATACTACATGAGACAGTAGGTTGTCATAGTAATTTCAGAATACAAGAGGGTTGGCAAGTTCCACAGAACTTGTGTTCACCTTGCCTTGTCTTTTTTCATAGTATGTGCACGTTTCATAGCTGAACTGGAAGTACCTGTCTTTTTTTAATCTGACTCCGGTCCCATTTGGATATAAGTTCCCCACAGGTTTGTAAATGACTAATGTTGTCACAGTAGTATGTGGAGAATTTGAGGAGAGTTAATGAAAGTTGTGCATCTAATTCCCCACATTCTACACAGATAGATTTAGTCATAAAACTTCAGTTATATACAAGGAAGAAGAGAGTTAAGATCCTAATGATCCATGTAACATGTGGATTGCTTACAAATTAATTATGCCTGTAATGCATAAATGAAATGGGCAACATTTTTAAAATTTTGATACTCAGTTTTTATTCATGTCATTATGTCCTTTAATCATATTTACTATTGTATGATATATCTACACTTTGTAAAAATCCTTGTACTGTAAATGTATATACTATATGATCATTAGGGAGCTAAAGCACTTAAGTGGACACTTAGATGCAACTAATGTCTAAAGAATCATATACAAGTTTTCTTTTAATAAAAATAAGCACTTCTTGGTGAAAAGTTTTTAAAAGTGGGGTGAATGGGGGAATTAAATGGGTTTTAGTTTTACTAAAATCATTATGCCGCTAAAAAAATTAAAAAAAAATTTCTATTAACTCCAGTGGTTTCCCCCAACTGCGGTCTAGTTTTTAAAAAAATCACTGCCACAAGCACAAATTAAAGGTCAGCCTTAGTTTGCCCTCATCATCGGTATTTCATATCTCAAACGCATTTTAGTGAGACAAATAAATCCCAACATCAAATAGGCTTAAACCATGACCATTCACATATTTAAATCTATACAAATGAAATCTGTTTAAGCCTTAGGCATGATTATATACTATAAGTATAGTCCTTGAAAGAGGCCCTATCCGTTTACTTGGCAAAATTTCATGAATCAAAACATCATGTGATAAAAGCCAAGATAATCTTGAGGCAGAAAGGAAATAAATAGTAATAAGACTATCTACTTTATGACTAACAGAGGCTTCATGGTTTACCCTCATTTTAAAACATTGCTGTATCTTTCTAAGTGTTTTTTCCAAAAAGTAGGTGTTTGACATTCTCTTGCTTACTTGAAATGAATGATTGTTTTCTTAGGATAAGGAATGCATGCTCAGGTCCTAAGAAAGCACCTGAGACAAACACAAGAGGTATATGCTCCACTTTTCTTCATAACAAAGACTTTTTTTTTTTTGTGGCTCAATCTTAATCTCATTCCAGTCAATGATGAAACTCCCACTTGATTCAATGGGAGCACGAACAGGCCCTTTACTGTAGCAAAAAACAAATAATAGTTACTGTTAAGGTATGACCCATGGCAGCCCCTGGCAGAGATCCTCCCAGCCCCTGGCAGAGATCCTCCCAGCCTGGGTCGACAGATTAGGACTCGCCAGGGCCGGCTTTAGGGAAAATGGCGTCCTGGGTGAACTTGTATTTTGGTTCCCCTGGCCCCATGGGTGCCCTCCATTTCCCTTGGCCCCATGGATTCCCCAGGCTCCCCACCCCTCTCCTGTGCCCCTAACTCCTGCATTCTGCCCGCTTCGCCCCAACCCCTGCACTCCCCTCCTGCGTCTCCTAATCCCTGCACTCCCCTTCTGTGCCCACCCGGGGAAATTGACCTGGATGCACGGAGCAGCTGGCATTGCTGCTCACTCCCCCCCTCCAACGCTGCCCCTCCGCGTGCCCCTAGGGGGCTGTGAGTGGAGAAGCAACATCAGGGCTCCCTGCATCCAGGTCACTTTCCCCACCTGGGCTGTGACCTGGATGCACGGAGCGCTTGGTGTTGCTCCTCACTTCCCCACTTACAGCCCCCTAGGGGGCGCAGAGGAACATTGGGGAGGCAAACAGTATCTGTGCGTCATCACTGTCCCCCCATGTTCCTCTGTCGGGAGAAAGCAGGGAGAAATCTGGGTATCCCCCCCCACGCGGCACTCCCCTGCCAGCCAAGAGCAGTTTCCGACACTACATTGGCAGCGCGCATTCTGCGCTGCTGCACAGCGCCCCCCTGACCATGGCACCCTGGGCGGTTGCCTGGGTGGCCCACCCCTAATGCCGGCCTTGGGGCTCACAGGACTTGCGCTACCACGCTAAAAATAGCCTTGTGGACTGCATTTTTAAATTTCAGCTCGGGCTGGAGCTTGGCCTCTGAAGCCCACCCCTCTCCCTAGGCTTCAAAGCCCAAGCTTCAGCCTGAGCTGCAATGTCTACACAGCTATTTTTAGCATGGTCGCATGAGCCCCACAAGCACGAGTCTGTTAATCTGGGCGGGGAGGGGGCTCGCTGCTGCCCTTAAGCAGCATATGAAGTGATAACTGAACTGTACTGTCCTGGTGGATGCTATAAACAGCTCAAAGAAAATATTAACAGCTGTATTAATTTGCTACTACACAGATAAATCAAAGCCTTCATTTCCTCTCACTGTGTACTGCACATGTGGTAAAAAGGCTAACTTGCTGCAAAGTTCGTATCTAATACTGATAACTCCAAGTTGTGTAAATTAATCCAAACTTAAATTAGAAGTAAAGTGTTCAGGTGTTTGTACAACAAGTTGACTTCAAAAATGGCTTGAAGTCAGTTTTGCAACTGCACGATGATCAATGCGCATCTACAGTCAAAGGATGTATCTGACCAGAACTAAGTCTTATACATCTCCTTGTCTACTGGAACAATGTAAATAAATTAAGACAGAGATAAAAAAAGTGTGGTAATAGTACTGGACCTTTTTTGTCTTGTATATAGCAAGGATGAAGCACAGTATTTGAAAGAGAAGCCACAAGTAAAAATAAAAACACTGAAGGACTCCAGTGAACTGCACTAGAAAAGTTAACATGTATAAGGCCTGATCCTTTTTGGAACAAGCAGTTCCATCCATTTCAGTGGGATTACTCATGTGAGAAAAGACTGTCCATGTGAGTAAGGGTGCCATACTCTGACTCATAGTACTCTGGTTTCTGGTAGACCATGAGTGCACAATTTCATATAGCTCTTACATCAGAAATTATGTGAAAGTATAGGTACTTACACAGTAAAATGGTAAATAAAACACTTCCATCCACTAGGCCTCTCCAGGAAGTTGTAGACATCTCCCTGCATGCTAGTTTTGGTTAAATAAGGGCCATAGAAGCACTTGGTAGTGTAGGTCCTACGGATTTCACTTCCTGTCATAGGTTGGTTGCTGAGCTGGAATGCTGAATCCTTTGTGTCTTGCTCAGAGTTGGGGGGAATTCCTGATCCATTATTCACCATGGTATCTGGAGCTAGTGCCACTGAAGAATATTGCTTATTGTTTAAGTTCCCTGTGACTTCCAACAATCCTGAAGACTTCCTATGACCATTCAGACGACCTAACTGGGAGCTGGAGCTTTGACCCTGACCACAGAGGTTATACATAGAGTGCCCACCAGTTTCACCATTAACACAGGACATTCTGTAATGAAGCACAGGTATTGCTAACCCTGATCAATATTTAAAATAATAAAAGAAGGTATTGTATGTCCTTTCTGTCCTGGGTGTTCTCCAATAACTGATAAGATGTCTTTCTGCCGTTATCCTGGAACTCCTCTGTGACACAACAGTGTGAGCCGCCAGCCTGTCACCTGTTGTCACTCAGAGGCTCTGAAATTAAATCAGAAGAACATATTAGACAATGGAGACACAAGAAGTAACTAGACGGTAAGACTTTTGGAGGGGGTGGAAAATTTAGATTCAATGTAATGACAATTAAACAAAAACAGGCTTAAAAGTTACTAAAATAGCACAACACAAGTAACAGAAGTACCTTACCTTCCTCTTAGGTGATTCTATCAAATCATTTTAGATTCAGTGAATACAGAAGTGTCCTTTACTGCAGATAGAACTGCTACAGCTGCAAATTTATCAGTGCTTCTCTTTTCTGAGAGTCTATACATTGACTATAAGTTCACTGTGGGCTAAAGCATAGTATACATAGATTTAAAATATGGAGCTTCATTATTATGTTGCATTCTGAAAGACTTGGCTAGGATGTAGAACAATTTTAAGATTTAGAATGAGCAATTTCAGACATGAGAGACCTAATCCTGCAATTGTAACTCCTGATGTGCTCAGTTAGACTTTTGCCCAAAAAACAACAACAACAACAACAACAACAAAAAGCAGGACTCTGACTTTATTATGCTCTTTTAACTCACAATTTTGGTAGATCTGTGTTGTTGCAGTGTGTTAAATGAAAGATCTAGGGCCTGATTCTGTTTTGCTACAACAGCTTTATATTGGTGGTAATGACATTGACCTAAGTGAAGTCCTGCTTGTGGAATAGTGTGGAAAATTTGGCCAGTAAAGCTTACCATGTATTTCATAAGACAGACCTGAATAGCTATAGTCTAATACGTGCTAACATATGTCTACGTTTATTTTTATATCAGAATATAACAGTTTTGCTGGTGTTAGAAGTCTGTTTTCTGAAGGGACATTTTTAAAATTGCCTCAATTCTTACACATGCCCATAAAAATATAAATATAACATTACAGGTTTTGCTTACCCTCACAAAAGCAAGGCAATACTGGAATTAATGTTGAAATGATGGTTAGAACTCAAGTCAGGATGCCTATTAGTTGCAGTTGATTTGCTCCTCTGTCAGAGGGGCCTCAAACATACCTTATGATCTGCTATTACCTCAGCATAACAAAATAATTTAAAATGGAATTTTAGCCTTAATCTCCTGCCTTTTGTCAAATTTAATTTATTCGTTTTGTTGCTAAGATCTCAGTGCATGAGTGAATAAATTGTCATTTTAATACTTCTAAGTAGAGCCTCTCTTCCAAAGTATTTCATGAAATGTTTACTTGGGGTAGTGGACTTGTTACCAAGTGAACTATTTTTTTTCTTAATGCATTTTGCAATGAGAAAAATATCCTTGTTAATCACACTGCTGATGGATAAATACTTCTAATCTTAATTTTCTCTAGCCATTTCCCTCAGTGCTAAAAACCTATCGGGAGCAATTGCAAATTTAAAGCAAGAAGCTTTTCAGTCCACCCAATTCACAAGATGAACCTATGTTAAACAAATATCAGAACTATTCTCACTCAGTCCAATTCATTTTACAGGGCTTAAGGGTAACCAGACAAGTGCTACTAACAAAGGTCTGTTAACCAGCATTTGCAACCAAAGCTACATAAAAAACATTTACTAGCGTGCTTAATTTAAAAAAGGGAGATTCCACACACAGACAGAAATAAAATGAAGAAAAACCTGAAACCATCTGGCAAGCAGCGCATACTCTCTCCTGTTGTACGTCCCTTTTCTCCTCCTCTCTGCTCCTCAGCTACATATGGCAGATTTCATAGGTGCAGAGAGAACTGTTGTCTGACTCTGCCCCCTAGCTTATCAAGCCCCACCCTTACCCATCCAGGGTAACCTCCCTTATATCTCCCTTGTCTGTTTTCCCTTGAAAGTAGGTGTGAGGCAAAAAAGGAATTAGGGACTCCCAGTTCTGATGGTTTTATCATGTCAGAGAGGAGCATTTGTGCTTCTCTGCTGTTATGTCACTAGCAGCAGACATAAGCAATAGTTTAGATGTTCACTTCTCCCCCCGTCCCTACCACAACCACCCATCTTTTCCTACCTGTGTATAACTAATTAAAAGGATTAATAATGGTATTTCCTTCACAATCTTTTGAATTAAATTATGCACTAGTACAAGCTGGCTCTACGCCTTTGCAGCAGTCTCTTATATTCAAGAGTCTAAGCAGGCTGCGTATCTTTTTTCACTGAAGATTTGGTGAAGCCAATAGCAGAGGATCATTATGTGTGCTATATCTAGCCCATGTCAGGATGGACTTATCTTTTTCTTTGTTGCCTTTTCCGAACTAACACTAATTTTTCTTATTCCAATGGAAGGAAGAGAGCACCCAAAATGTAGACTCCTCAGCATTATGTTTCTTAGCTTGTTGCTGAGACTTGTGATCATGCCAGAAAAGTTGTTAATTCTTTTTTTTTTTTTTTATTGTCTCATTTCTTTGAAAGCAAAAACAGTTTCCTGTGGGGAATGCCAGGAATTTGACCCAGAGTTTTCGCCGAGTATGTGCAAGATCACTTATCTACAGGTGAATCAAAGAAACTAGAGTGGAAAAGACCCATTACATCCACCCTCCTAGCAATGCAGAACTGTTGCCATTTTCCTTTGTTCTGTACTCCAGTTCTAAATGTTCCAAACAAGGAAGCTTGCATCATTTCCCTTAGAAGAATATTCCAATCAAACACTTTCAGGAAGTTCTTAGTTTCTTATTTTCATCTGACTGCTCCTAGTTACACCTGTATGTATAACCTGAAAGAATTCTTCTTGTTCTTAGGTGTATACCGTTTCAAATATTTGTACATGTATCATGTTAACTAGCCCTTAGCTATCTATAAGCTAATCTATACACATTTACCTCTTTTCACAAGTCAATCCCTCCAGAACACTGATTTTTTGTTGCTCTCTTTCATTTGCTTCTTTTTGGTTATATAGTGTCCAGGTAGTGCTGAATTTGAACCATAGAGAAGGATTGTCACCTGCCTGAAACCATACATGCTTTTCCAGAAAGGTGGCCCAGTTTCAATTAAAAGTTTAAGAGTCTGTTAGAAAACCTTGCCCATGTCTTGGGTCTCTTACAAAAGTTTTGCACCACACTGGCTTTCACTCACCCCTTCCACCTTAAACTCCCTTTTGCCTTTATTAACATCCTCTATGATTTCTTCCTCATCCTTTCCTATGGTAGTTTTCCAACTGCAACAATTATTATTAGTTGCACTCATCTCCAAACCCTCTCAAAAGTACTTGTATTTCTATTCCCACTTGCAAATTGTCCAGCAAAGTTATTCAGGAATAACATGTCTCCAACATTCCTGTGAGAAAATATCCTCACCATTCTATAGAAGAAGAAACCAAGACACCAAATAATGACAGATCTCGCAGTGAATATGTAGCAGCAATAGAACCCAGATTGTCTTGGACTGGGAGAGGAAGGATTGTCCAGTGGCGAGAGTGCTAACTTGGGCTGTTGGGAAATATGGGTTCAATTCCAGTTCCACTGGACAAGTCACTTATCTCTGTGCCTCAGATCCCCATCTGTAAAATGGGGTTGGGAACTATCTTTCTCAAAGGGGTGTTGTATAGTTTCATGGTCTATAAAATGCTTTGAAACCCTGACAGTATGCAGCACCTAACAGTGCTTCCCTACCTCACAGGGTTGTTGAGAGGATAAATATGTTAGATTATGAGCAGAGATGGGGGTCTATCTATTGAGGAAGGGGAAGAGCATCTTTGGATACAGACTGGCTAACCTAGCAAGGAGGGCTTTAAACTAGGTTCAGTGGGGGCAGGAGATTAAAGCCCACGGACAAGTCAAAAACATAGAGATGTGGGAAAAGGGTTGGAATCTTGGGGGAGCATGGGCCATTATAGCAGGGATCAGGGAGAGAGAAAAGAAAGAACGTAGAGGGGAAATCAAATTATGTATACTGTATACTAATGCAAGAAGTATGGAGAATAAGCAGGAAGAACTAGAAATGCTAGTTAATAAACACAACATAGTTGGCATCACAGAGACTTGTTGGGATAATACACATGACTGGAATATTGGTATAGAAGGGTACAGCTTACTCAGGAGGGACAGGCAGGGAAAAAGGGAGGAGGTGTTGCCTTATATATCAAAGATGTATAAACTTGGACTGAGGTTGAGATGGAAATAGGAAACAGACTTGTTGATAGTCTCTGGGTGAGGATAAAAGGGGTAAAAAACAAGGATATGTCATGGTAGGGGTCTACTACAGACCACCTAACCAGGAACAAGAAGTGGATGCGGCTTTTTTTAAACAACAAAATCATCCAAATCACAGGACTTGGTGGTGATGGGGGACTCCAACTACCCAGACATCTGTTGGGAAAATAACAGCAGGACACAGATTATCCAACACATTCTTGCAATGTATTGGAGACAATTTTTTATTTCAGAAAGTGGAGAGAGCTACAAGGGGAGACACTGTTCTAGATTTGATTTTGACAAATAGGGGGGAACTGGTTGAGAATTTGAAAGTAGAAGTTAGCTTGGGTGAAAGTGATCATGGAATGATAGAGTTCATGATTCTAAGGAATGGTGGGAGCAAAAACAGACCAGTAAATATAATGGATTTGAAGAAAGCGACTTTAGCAAACTCACAGAGTTGGTAGGTCAGATCCCAGGGGAAGCAAGCCTAAGGGGAAAAACAGTTCAAGAGAGTTGTCAGTTTTTCCAGGACACATTATTAAGGGCACAAAAGCAAACTATCCCACTGCATAGGGAAGATAGGAAGTATGGCAAGAGACCACACGGTCTTAACCAGAAGATATTCAATTATCTAAAACTCAAAAAAGAGCCCTACAAAAAGTGCAAACTAGGTCAAATTACAAAGGATGATTATAAAC